TGAAGAGGGAGAAAGGAACACTGAGGTGGAAGAGAAGAGACACAGAGAACCTAATGGAGCTTATTTTCTGGATGGGGAAGCTCCAATATATTCTGCTTTATCTCTATTTTTTCCCCTGGAAACAGTGAATCAATCAAACATTTACAGAGGTTTCTGGCTCTCTTAAGTCAGCTCCCGTAAAGAGTAAATAAATAAAACCCAACAGGGATGCATAATGACCGCTGGTCCCCTGTCTCTGTCCCCCTCCCTCTGATTCAGCAGGATGAAAATGAAGCTGCTCTCTGCCAGCACTTCACTCTCTCCAGAGACTGGCGGCTGCAGCTCTGGAGAAAGACTCTTAGAAGCCAAAATCACTAATTTGGCAAAAATCTTGGTGTCTAATTTGCAAAGACACCTCCAGAGCTGGCCAGTGTTGATTGAAATCCTGTGAGCTGACATTTCATTTGTTCAGAGACAAAAAAATAAAATAAAATAAAATAAAATCCTACAACTCTCCTTTAGTGTCCCACCAATTCAGAGGACTATTTTTAGCTTTCTGCACACAAGGAAAGAAATTATGTTAATAAAATAAAACCATTTTCCAGCAAAATCAGAGCATTTCGACCTATAGGATGCAAACTTTTTTCACAGAATCGTGCTCCAGCTGCTGATAAACAAATGCCTTTATGGAATATATGTTTTTTTTTCTTTCTCTGCATTTACCCCTATCAGTATTTAAAGACTTGGAAAATAAATTTCAAACACATAATCCCCACACCCGACCCCCAAAAAATATGAGAGTCTGAACGCCTAACAGTAAAATACACAGATAAGTGAATAAATAGTTATCTGGAGTTTTTTTCTTCTTCATTTTTTGTAGGTCACAAGTCATTCCTCTCCATCTCTTTACAAAGCAAGGCGTATTTCATGCCCCAGCCCAGATAGGAGGGGGTGAAAGGAACCATTTCATTTACTCTTATCTGAGAAAGTCGATTGGGGGGGGGGGGGGGGGGGGGGTGAGAGTCTCTCTCTGCAGATATACCTGTGGTGAGGAGGACGCATGCAGGCTTCACAGAAATGCAGCTTTTATGCGTTTGAAGGGTTTTTGTAAGAAATAATAATAATGACAGGAGGTGGACGGAATAATGCTCCTTTACACAACTATATAAAACATTTGCACAAAGAGGGCGAGAGTGTAAAAAGATTCAAATTCGTTCATGTAGGTCAGCGGGCTCTTTCTGTGGTCTCTCTGCAGAAACTGAATGGATGGAATCAGCCAGAGTAAATAAACGTATTGCTCCTTTAGAGGGAAGACAAATCAGACTCCTTCAGATCATCAGACTGCAGGAAGCCATGGAGCTTTGTTGCATTTATTTCTGCTCCATCATTATAACCGTCCTCTAAAAATGTGAAATGTCCTGATTTTAACCCTTTTCCAACTCTATTTTGGACCACTGTTTGTAAACATCAGAAGCAAAGAGTTTGCATTATTCCATCAGTTTTTATATAGAGAGTTGAAGGTCAGTAAGTTGTCCATTTAGAGGACACAAAGTTTGATAAACTCCTAATTTTTTATAAAACACCATGAAGAAGATGCAATATACTGTGAAAATAACTGATAAAAAGTTTGCAAAATTTATGCAGGTTGGAAGTGACCTTACAGATTATACTTTTGGTCCAAGTCCAGATCTCTGGATTAAAAACTGGAGTCCACAGACTCTGAACACCCTCAGACCCACAGGAACACGTTGCTCAGATTAAAACAGTGAGCTTTTTCTATTCACAAAATAAAACAAAAGTGACTTTTTACACTTTAATATTGGAGAACACAATTGAATGAGCACATTTTTAGTCTCACTTCAATAACGACAGATGTGATTTACGTAACTGGTTCTTGTTGCTGAATTGATTTTTTACAGTCAAAGTAAGCACATTTTGCTGTATTAAAGTATTATGAGATTTTAAAGGAACCAATCCACTAAAGAAATGTTTTGTTTTAATTATTTTACTTTTAATGTGTGCTCAGTCAACTTAATTCCACATAGATTTAAACTCAGCATTTGAAAACACAATAAATTCAACTTCTAGAAACAAATTGTTTAAAACATTTTTTTCATTTGCTTTTTACTCTTTGTGAAGTTTAGAGGCACACAATTCAAAAATTAGCCATCTAAAATAAATTTTAAAAATACTAGTTTACAGTTTAATCTTCTCAAATCTGCCAGTTCAGTAAAACTGAAGCACTTGGTAAAACGCCCTGAAATGAGAAAAATGTCCAGGCTAATATGATTACTAAGTTAACACATTAACTTGACTGACATAAGATTGCAAAATTTGATTAGATGGACGGTTTTTGCAGTGCAGGTTATCACAAGAGGTTGGGTACATGTAACATTTTTTAAATGCTGAATCTTCTTGTTGTTTTTATTCACTGTGACTCTGTGAATCTGCAGCATTTTGTCTCTAAACTTGTTTTCGATCCATGCCTCTCAAACTCCAAGGCTCCGGTTTGGAAATCTGTTGCAACAAAAACGACATCGTCCCAGTTATTTTCTCAGACTGCAGAAAACATGACTTCCAGTGATAAATGAGATGTTTTTATATTTTAGTTCATCTATATGATTTTTCACTATTTTTACGATAAAGTAAAGTTTTATTTAGTTGAATTGCTTGGTTTAATCTTAGAAACCTTTTGGCACAGCTCATGGGTCCATACGCTCTTTAAAGCTCATATTGGTTGTAAATGACACCATTTAATCCCTGAGCCTTGGTTAAGTCCGGCTCACGGGAGCATTGCATAAACAGGTATTACTTCTTTTCATATTGCTGCCTTTTGTACAGAGTGATTGCTTTTCAAACAGTTCTGTCTGCTACTCACGTCTGCATAATGAGGTTCTTATATATATATATATATATATATATATATATATATATATATATATATAAAATATGAGGCAGTAAGGTGCAAAGGGAGCAACATTTGGAAACAATTCTTTCGAATTTCACTTTCTAGATTTCACATTTCTTCATTTATCCACTGTGTATTGACCGGTTTCTGTCTGAGCTCGTGTGTAATTTTCTCTAACGTCTGCTGATGAAGAGGAGGCGAAGAACATGGGGAGCGGTTCATGGGACAGCCTGCGGTTTTAGGCGGTATCCCTGCTGGGGTCATGTGTTTAAAATCTATTACCCTCACAGCTAGGATTAGTGTGTGTGTGTGTGCGAGAGCGTGTGTGTTTCCCCTAAAGACGTAATCACTATGGTAATACAAAAGCCAGTGGATTAAATGATGGAGAAATTTGAGTTGATTTACAATTTGCCTTTGGTGGCTTCATGTATATATATATATATATATATATATATAAACAGTGGGAGAACATATAGGAAGTTCTTTTAATTTTTTTTGATGAGTCAGAGTTTTAGTTTGCTGATATAAAATCTCAGTATTTTGACCTGTGTAGAAAGCGGTTCCTTCCTGTGGATTCTTAAGAGCGTCAGATTGATCAACTTGCAAATAAACTCTTTTGTCCAGACAAGAGATTTTTTTCTTGTCCCTGTTTGTTTCAAATCTGTTGGTCAAAAATGGAAATTTTTCCCTGACGTGTGCCTTTCTCTGCTCATGGCAATGGCACAAAAAATTTTAAAAAACAGTCTAGAAAAATTTTGCTTCCTGAAGGTTTTTCAATTATGTTAAGCTCCAGTTTGCCCTTTGTTCTACGCCTGTGTCTTGTTGTTTATTTAGTCATTTATTTATTTTCCTGCTACTCTTTCATCCCTACATCCCTCAGGGGGAATATTAGTGATATTTCTTACAAACGGGGCCAGGCTGAGGCCTTGGTCAATAATTAATTGAAATCCCTTCATTTGCTCGACTTTTTTTTTCTTTTCATGCTTAGTTTGTCCTTGGTGAATTGGGGCAAAGTTGCTCTTTGGAGGAGTGCTCCAACTGTTAATAAATGCTGAGCAGAAGAAATAGGAAACAGGGCAGGCATTAGATAAATAAAAAGTAGAGCAGATGATTGATTCACAGAATATCTGCCTGAAGTTTTCAAACTTCTTTCAGATTAACTTCTTGTGTTCAGTGATGTTTTGTGAATCAAGGCAGCTGATCAGATTACAGACCAGCAGCAAACCAACGGCACAGTGCAGCACGGTGGTACAGTGGTTAGAGTTGTCGTCTCACAGTAAAAAGGATGCCTGGCTTTTCTGTGTGGAGTTTGCATGTTTTCCACCTGCGTGGGTGAGAGTGTGAGCTGTTGTTTGTCTCTGTGAATTGTTTGCAACCTGTCCAGGGTGTCCCCGCCTCCTGCACAGTGACCGGTCCAGACCTGCTCCCTGTGACCTGAAAATGAGAAAAGAAAATGAATGAATGCTTTAGTTTGGCTACATAACATTAAAGCTGGTATGTTGCTGGGCTGTGACTGTTGTTGGAGACACAAAATTGCAGGAAAATATGCGTTTAATTTGGATTCACACTGAATTGGTACTAATGACATTAAAGTTGCAAATAGATTGTGACATTCCTGCAAACGACTTGCATTTTGTCACAATGTAGTCACAAAGCGTCCAACATATTTCCCTTTGATCATGTTTTATTAAATTTTGCTACAAACCAGTCAGTTTAGTGTCAAAGGTTGCCAGTCCCACTCAAATTATCACAGTGCTCACACTATCTGACTCAGAAGCTACATTGACAAGAATTAGATGCCGATGACTAATTTAAGAAAATAAAAGTTTTACCTTTTTTTAAACGTTCAAAATTCCAGTAAAACAAGAATAAATCCTTGTGACTCATGAGAGAAAATTGGGAACTCAAGAAGACATTTTAAACAAACTCCCTTTTAGTGCAGATTGTAATTTGCTGCTGCAGCCCACTCAGGTACACGGTTAAGTAATAGCAAGGTTAAGTAAATGTTTTTGGCAGCATTTCTGTGAAGTTTTAGTCCCTGTAAACTAGTCTAAAGTACAACTATTAAAATACTATTTTCTGCCTCTGATTTTATTTATCTCCATCTTTTCAGGACATGGTGGAGTGAACCAACTCGGAGGTGTGTTTGTAAACGGCAGGCCCCTCCCAGATGTGGTCCGACAGCGAATAGTAGAGCTCGCCCATCAGGGCGTCCGTCCCTGCGACATCTCACGGCAGCTACGGGTCAGCCATGGATGTGTCAGCAAGATACTGGGCAGGTGAAAACAAACACCAACATCTGTGCACAGACAGCCCAGAAAACACTCTTTTGGCTGCAAACTTTGAGAAAGTGTGCTACAGACAACAAAGAGTTTAGTTGGTTCCTTGATTAAAAATATTTCAGCAGTGGTGTTTTTTGGTGTTAATCTGTGTGGAGTTTTAAAGTGGTGTATAGACTATTGCAGCCTAATCACTAAAGCTGATTTTTTTCTTCAGGTTTTTAAAAACTAGTTATTCTTTATTACAAATATTTTGAATCTCGGTGCCAACCTCACCTTTTCTTACTGCAGGGTTTTAAAAGGCAAAACTTTTATTCTGAAATATATATTTTTTCCTAATCCCAGTTAAGTTTAGTTGTTTTATAGCCTTGACTGTTTTCCACTCCTGCTGTGGAAAACTGTAAAGTCCTGATGATGTCTTCCACTGCCACCCCTCCAACTTACAATAAATGATCCTCAGATATTTATGTTTTTGTCAACTATTGAAAAAAACACAATTCAAACACAAAATCTGAAATCAAACCAGAACAAAAAAAAAAGGCACACATTTTTATAAGTCTAGAAAAATAAAAGTTAAATTCTTGGTCTGATGCTGTTTAGTTGCGATAAAGGAGTGGTTGGTTAGCTCTCTTCTTTCATCCAGTAAGATCCAGTTCAACTCCTGGCTGGTGTTTTTCTGAGTAGAGCTTGAATTTTTTCCCTGTTCTTTTTTCTGCATCCTTTGGTTTCCTCCCACAGGCCAAAAACAAACATGTCTGGTTAACTGGTGACCCTAAAAGTTGTCTCTATAGGTGAGAGTGTAAAAGGTTTTATTTGTATCTGTGTGTGGCTCCCTGATGGACTGGTGTCCAGGGTGTACCCAGCCTTTCACCCAATGACCACTGGCAGTCCTACACAGAAATGTATTCAATTTGGATCAGTGCTGATTAAGACAAGGCAAGATGAAACAGTCTGTTCTGATGTGAGTTTCAGAAACCTGCCTCTTTGTCTTATCTTTCCTCACTTCTTCCTCTCACATTAAATCATACTTTGCTGTTGCCCTTTGACCTTCCCTTTCCCTCCCTATGCTATATTTTCAGCCTTACCCCTTTCAATATTTCTGCAATTCTGCTCACAAACCTTTTCTCTGTCTGGCTTTTTCAAAGCTAAATTCAAGAACAAATCCACGCTCGTTCCGTTCCTCGGAGCAGAAAGGTTGACAAAAGGGATAAAAGATTCATCACTTTTTGGAATTAGCATCAAAATGAAAGTGGTACTACATTTCTGCACCCCCTCCCTACACTATAAAAAAAAGAGAGAGAGAGAAGGTGAAGAATGTGGAAAAAAGACAAGAACAAGGAGCACAATCAAAAGGAAAAAAAGTGTGTTAAGGGAGAAGAGTGTGGAGAAAAGAGAAATGAATGAGAGACAGAGAGACCATTTGTGGGGACGGAGAGGAAGGATTAGCAACAGCGACCCTCAGCTATATCAAAAACTGTGTTGCTCATTGTTCTCCCATACCTCTCCTTCCTTTTTCTCCTGTCTTTCTCTCTCTATCTCTTTCTCTCTCTCTCTCTTCCTGGCCGTTCAACTCACTGAAGCGTTACTGTGGGGGGTAGGGGGGGGGATCGAGGGGTGGAAGGAGGGAGGGTTGTTTTATCCTCTCCTCTCAGTCTCTTCAGTGCCAGCAGAACAAAAACACCAACTCTCTACCACCATGTGTGTGTGTGTGTGTGTGTGTGTGTGTGTGTGTGTGTGTGTGTGCGCGTGCGTGTGTGCGTGCGTTGGCTCATCGTTAAACAGGATATCAATAACCATGCTCGTTTATTCACCGATGATTCAGCTGTGAATAATTCAAACCGTTTTCCATTTGAAAATAGATTGTTTTTCCTTTAGCTGTGTTTATGCTCAAGCTGTGAAGAGTCAGAAAGTGCAACACATGAAACACATACCCACACACACACACAGGAAGAAAGAAAGACAAGGAAGCACAGGAACTCACATCTTCACGGAAAGGATTACTCTACCGTACAGTGGAGAGAGAGCAGCAGGTTTAAGACTGACTGACAGCCTGCATCCACACACAGCATCCCCCCCCACCCCGCCTTTTTTCCCCCTGCAAGCTGTGCAGAGCGCTTGCTTTGCTCCCACCCCCTGCCCTTATGCCCCCTTCTGCATGCAAATACATTCATGGAATAGCCACGGTGGACATGAAACGCTCAAAATCATCTTACCTCTGTGTCACTGCTGTGTGACGCTGCAAGAGGAAACAGCAGCAGTTCACTGATCAACTCAGGCATTAAAACTATCGGGTCACAGGTGACACGGTCACATTAAGCAATTTGGCTGACATGGAAATCTCCAGACAACAAGAAGTTACATAACTATATCAGAGAAGGATTTACGTCATCTGCGTTGACAATTTTACAAAGTTGAATTTCACAGTTTGCAGACTCAGTCTTTTGCAGATTTTTTCCATGGAGCTAATGACCTTTAGTTTGCAGTAACCCCCGTAATATCCCAAATAAACAGAAATACAATATGTAAAGAATGTCACTTTTTATTTCTCTCATGCTTATTTCTGAGTTTTCAAGCTTAAATATGAAGAAAAATATCATTTACAAATTGGGAAAACCTTAGAAGGATGCTGCTAATTTCTACAGTCCTGAAAAGCTCTACTGTACCCTTAAAATCAACTGTAAATCAATGTTTGCACCACACAAGGCCTGTCGTAGCCTGACCCTCTTGCACTGCATCGGTATGCAGCTAGAAGATCACGCCATGTTAGCTTGATGCTACTACCTAATAGGGTTATAGCCCAGGTGTGAAGCCAGTGTGGCTTGTCCTTGTCCAAATTCTCAACAACCAAGCCACACTGAAGCACAGATCTACATCACAGTCTGAATATGCTGCCACCAAGACTGCATTCAGAGAGAGCGACACAATGCTCAGCTCTGGATAAGTTGGTTCTGCAGTAGCAACACATAACAGAATAGAAAGTAGCCTAAATTAAAACTGAAAACTGATTTTTCATCTTGTTTTACAACCAGCTTCTCGTGTTTCCCTCTCAGCCATGACGCAAGCATCTTTTTTTGTGTTTAACACGGCAGGTACTATGAAACGGGCAGTATCCGCCCCGGGGTAATCGGGGGCTCCAAACCAAAGGTTGCTACACCCAAAGTGGTCGACAAGATCGCCGATTACAAACGCCAAAACCCAACCATGTTTGCCTGGGAGATCCGGGACAGGCTCTTGGCCGAGAGAGTTTGTGACAACGACAGCGTCCCCAGCGTCAGCTCCATCAACAGGTACAGCAATCTGTGTAAACTGGGTGTTTGTTTGAGTTTCAAACTGTGGCAACAGGTACCAAGCGTGGACTGAGCAGGGAACAATATAAATGTGTGTGTTTGTCAGGGTGGGAGGGGGCAGGAGGACTGCAAAGAGGGCCCCGGTCTCCATATGTATGAAGTGGCTGCAGCTCAGTGGTTCTACACGATGCTACAATGACAAGCCTTTCCCCCCTGAGCACAGAGGCAGTGAAAGAGCGAGGGATGGCGAAATGAGAGAGAGAAAGAGAGAGCCAAAGAGGTGGACAAAGGGGGAGGGAAGGTGTGCACGAGAAAGGGAAGAAACAGACACAAAAGAAGGGAAAGAAAAGGAAAGGAAACGGGAGGAGAGGAAAAGAGGGGGAAAAGATGAAAAAGGAAAGAGGAAGAAAAGGCTTGCATGATCAGCCAAGCAGGAAGTGTGAGGCCCCTCTGCCATGTCAGCCTGCCTAAGCCACTTCACACAACACACACACACACAACACACACACAACACACACACAGACAGTGTTGCTCCCACGGTGGTCATGTTCTCTCTGTCACTCAGAATTGCACAAGCCTCTTCACACACTCTAATGTCTCCTCTCCCCTCTTACAGGATCATTCGGACCAAGGTTCAGCAGCAGCCTGGTCAAACGGGCTCAGTACCGACTCATAACTTAGGTAAGTTACTTGTACATCTGCTGCTGCTGCAGCTTATAATTTCTACCTGGATTTTTAAAATTTAATTTAAAATGTTGTTCTAAAACCTTTTTAATAGTACTAAGTTTTCTAAGAGATGAACATTAGAAAAACAACAGATTTAAATTTATATCCAACATAAATGAGCAAACAGACCAATCTACTTACACTTCTTCATCCTCAGCTGGATCAGTAACATTCACCAAGTACACAACAGTACCACACGGTCAGTATTGTGCCAACACTCCCATTCAAAAGCTAGCACCAAACACCCAACAGATAATGAAAACCATTATCTGATTTGTTTGTGGGTTAATGTATCTCGAACTCATCAGGGTTTTTGTAAAAATTACATTAGAAAACAGCAAATATTCCTCAACTTTAATTACGGATTAAATATTTCTTGACACTTTTGCTTTCAAGCCCACTGCTTCTTGATTTCCTCACCTAAAATTCCTCCATTTCTGTGTACTCACCTCCTCGCAGCATTAAGTTGTCATTTTTTTAAGAGAGAACTTCACTTTTTTATTTGATTTCATCGTTTTCCCTCTGACTCTGTTTGCATCTGGGGATTCTTTTACTGTTAGTACTGGTCAAGTCCAGAACCTGTCCAAAGTGTACTCATCAATGAAAACAAACACCTAAAACTTGTTGGCAAGAAAAGATTCTGCTAATTTCACCAATTTATTACAAACGGTGCTGTAGACTTTAGGTTGTGACTGATGCAGATTTAATAGTAATTTTATCAGAAATGTTTACTGTGCAATTGCATATTTTGATAGCTGATATTCGATGAAATGTCATCATTGAGTTAAAAAAATCAGACCAGATGTACCATAAGAGTGCATCATGTGAAGTGACACAAACAATTCCTAAGATACAAACAGTTACATCTTCTATTCAGCTTCTAGTCAAAAATGTGTTCTTTGCAGGCAAAAGCGCTTTATTACAAGCATGATGGAATCGTTATTTTCTTTTACTCTATGAGTATCAGAGACAAGGAATAAAAATGATAAACCTTTTTCTCAGTTTCTTACTTTTCTCCACAGTGGATTGTACCACGGTGTCTCTTATATCTTCATAATCTCACATTGTCTTTTAGTCTCAATTAATTTTACACACAGCTCCCTGACTGCTTCCTTTTACATACATCATGCAGAAACACCTATACTTATACACCAAGATGCAATGCACTCTCTCTCTCTCTCTCTCTCTCTCTCATACACACACATTCTCTCACAGATTACACAGATAAATGGCTCCCACTCCCGGGCGGAAAATTGAACATTTGGATTTGCAGAATAAGAGCGTTGCGTTGTGATAAAATAAAGAGTGAAAAGAAAGCGAAAATCAGATAATTGAAGTGCTAAATCAAGTGATGGGAAAAGAGAGGATATGCATTCATTATACTCTCTCTGTCGTTAGCTAAAGAGTAACAGCTCGAAAGGACTTTGATCCCTGGGTTTGTGTTGTTCTTTTCTTATTCCCTGTTAGGTCTTGCCTTCCCATGTTCAGGGGGTGGGGTGTGGATGGGGGTCTTCTGGGAGAAAGGATTAGGATGTCTGTTGCCACACCTTTCTGTCCCTCCTGGGATACTATACTGTCACTCAGACTGACGTCCGCTTACAGATAAGAGACCAGAAGTGACTGTATGTTTCAACGTGCACATGTGTCTGGGAGTTACAGTGTGTGTGTGTGTGGGGGGGGGGGGGGGCCTGCAACAGGGACAAGCATGGCCTCATGTCACCTAGTGAAGAACTTGTCTCCTCCAGGGGCTAGATCAAGGCAACAGTGAAACACTATCAGGGTCATTGATTTGGAGTCCAGCTTTAGAAAACCACAAGTTTATTTATATCACCATGAAAGCCAAGCGATGGAGCAAATGCCCAGAATACTTGCTCAGTTTTTTTCTTTTTTTTGTGAAAAAAAATACAAGTTGAGTCTTCCAGATTTGCTTTATTTTCTTTTAATTTACACTTTAAGTGCTTACTTTTTTCACAACATTGGTTTCTTTTTGTATGTTATGAAAATATCTCATGAACTGCAGGACAGATTTTACCAAATCTTTCGGAAATGTGCGACTGGATGTACTGTACATCTACAACTCATCAACTTTTGAAGCCAACCTGAATCAAGATGGCCACCACAGCTAACATTAGGATACAAAAATGGCTCTAAAGCAGTCATTTTCATTGATATTGTGCTAAAAGTGGGTGTGGTGCTGAGTGATCCCACTGATTGTACAGAATTTTGTTAAACTTTGGCATGGTTGTTTTTTTTTCACACATTCTTCGCTGTGTTTCTGCAGCGACATCCGTGGCCGCCACACAGGTTTCAGTTGTGACGAGCGACTCGGCTGGCTCCTCGTACTCCATCAGTGGCATCCTGGGAATCAGCTCAGCTGCTGACGTGGGCAAGAGGAAGAGGGACGAAGGTGAGCAATTATTCTGTCCGTTTTTAAACGCTCTGGTGAAAGGGGTATTTTTTTTAAGACCATAAGATCTTCTTCTCAAACCAGTTTGGAGAAAACGCACTGACAGATGTGTTGATGTGTGTGTTTGTGTGTGTGTGCATGTGCGTGTGCATGTGTGTGCACTTTAAAGTGAACATCTTCATTGAGAAATCCATGTTTGTTTACTAACAGTTCAGAAACTTACAACATGAGGAAGCGGTTCGTCCACTTTTGATTATAAGTGTTGCCACGCTGAATCAACGCTGCATGTTGTGGACTTTTGTGTGTGTGTGTGCAGGATTATGTGTGTGTATGTGTCAGCGTCAGTGGCATTAAAAAGCCATCACGCAGACGGTCTCCTGCGGTAAATGAGACAGGACCAGATGTTGGAGCGAAGCAGGGTGACAGAATGCCACTAGGGGCTATTTCACTCGCTCACACTCATTTGGTCTTCACTTTCTCCTTTCACACACACACTAACACGTACACACACGCAAACACACACATTGATGCTTCTTTTCACCCACTGCTGATGAATTTTCAAATCATGTTATTAGCAGGTTGCAGGTGAATCCCAGATGAACCGTAAAAAAAGCTTAAGATCACCCTTTTATCCATCAAAGAAACACAAAGATTTAAAACACACACATAACACACACTCCCAGCAATAACTGAGCTTTTAACTCAAAAAGAAAAATCAAACTAAATAATCAGCTCTTTTCCCAACAATTATGAGGCATATCCGCACTTTTTATTTCATGTTTCCAGTTTTAAAATCTCAAATATTTAAAATAAAAAATGGTTTTGGTAAAACTACATTTTAGCAAATTATACCATTAAAAAATTGACTTATGTCCAATTGATTGTGACTTGTACAAATAAGCAGATCAAACTATTTGCCCTTAAAATGTCTTGTTTCCTTGAGCGTACTGCTGCGTTGGCTGGAAATGCCATCGTGCTGATGATACAATAATAAAATAAATGATTTCAAAACAAATTGGTGAATCCAAGAATACATTAAAGGATAAATAAAAACCTGTTTAAGAGCAGTGAATCTAAATACAAATGCACCACACATGCAGTATTTCTAGTGGCTCAGAAGATGACTTTCATTAAACAATTTGCATATACAAACCAAAGTAAATAGCGTATATTTTCTGCTTCTTTTTTAATAACTAGCTTTATCTTTAGGACTATTTTGTGTCATGTCAGCTTCCACATGTCAAATTTCATTGGCTGAATTACATCTCATGACACCATAACACCTGAGGTCAAAGGGGACAGACTTATTTTAACTTCAACACCCCCCCCCCCCCCCAACATTTAGCAAAACCGCAAATGAAAGGTCACGGTCAGGGTTATTCAGCACCTGTCATGCTAAATTGTTTGCCCTCCACACTTCAGGAAAGAACAGAATGTGGTGTGTAGCTACACTTGGCTCTTACAAAAAAAGAAAAGAGAATATGCATAAAAGACAGTTTCAGTGTTTCTTGGGTTTCTCATGGTTAGACCACAGCTTATGAACTTTAGCCAACACAGAAAAGACCAATTGGTTTTCACCAGTCAGTAAGCTTTTACAGATAATGACTCTGCCCCTCTCGTCTAAAGATGATCTTAGTTTAAAACCGTGGCATGAAAGGCAACAGTTAACTTGCATTTACTTAAGGAATGCTAGGTCTTTAATTTAAAAAAAAACTCCAATTAAGGCAGGGTTTGATGCTAATTTTTGTGCATATGTGAGGTGTGACTTATTTAGCAAATTTCTAAAAGTTTGAGTTTATTTATTACTACGTTTGGAAATAGCAGCTCTTGAATTTGCCGGACCACAACATCTTCAGAACTAATCAAAGACAGTTCTATGTGTTTCACATGTAGTCAGACCATAGATCAGTGACTGTTTCATAATTCACACCAGAACACATCGTATCACCTGACGTTTGAAGCGTCGTTCAGGCATCACGTTGCTCGGTGTCACATTCTGCCCGTGTGTTTTTATCTGCAGTTGTTTCTGTGGCGGAGGTCTGCGCGGTTGGCTCTGTGGTCTAATTAACAGCATTGCTAATCACAGCTTCCATTAGAGCAGCCCCCGCTGGATAATGACACACACACACAGCGAGGGGCGACAGCAGGAACAGCATGCGCCAACATGGACAGACAAACAATGAAGCAAGCTTCTCACATACGAGCTCGCCCATATGTTTATCGGTGCTGACATTCTTACACGCGTTACCGTCACACAGGAGGCCAAAAACCACTTTGTTCCTCTGGTAACTTTGGTATTATGACTGAAAAGGTCAACATTTTCCACATACAGAAGTGAGACACTGTTATGATGATCATTTAATAAACCGAGGAGACATTTCAGCTGAATTCACCTGCTGCCATGACACTGACCATGTAATGTCTGTCTGTTAGGATCTCATGAACTACTGGATGGATTTTAATGAAAATTTCAGAAAGTAATAATTGGATATACATCTACAACAGAAACAAAAACAGATGTTTTGTCAGGTGTAATTTATATGGTAAGGAAAGCAAAAAAAGACAGGATTAATGTCAGAAATAACTGCAAACACAACATGGAGTTTGTAAGACTTATCAAAAAGGAAAGCCATAAGCCTAAATGTAGACAGATCTCAGCCTTTCGATCAAAAACAGGAAGTTTGTTCCAAAAAAGAAAAGACTGATAGCATAAAACTCTGCCTCCTGTTCTATAAACTCTAGGATCCACAAGTCAACCTATAGTCTGAGAGTGAAGAGCTGGAGAAAAAGAGTCTGTTTTTAAAGATTATTGTTAACATTAAAGGCTTGAGATACATACAGTTGTAGCACATAGCAATGAGTCAGTTGGTTGAACTTAAAATGCAAAGGTTTAAATGCTGTTTTTGGCTGAAAACTGTTCCAAGGAAGGTTATATACTAAGGAGGTGGGCATAATTAATAGCTAGTCTCACACTAGAAAACTTCTATTCTGAAAAATGAGCTAAAAGACCCTGCAAAAGCAGTTCCATAAACTAAAAATGCCTTTACTGCAGACTAATAAACATGGCCTCTAGTAGTTGCAGAAACTATAAACAGGCGCCTGTAAGAAGAAAATATAATCTGCTGATGACTACTATGAATTTGAGTGCTTGTTTAATTTTGCAAACTTAAAAACCAGTGCAGCTCACAACTTTCTTATTTCTGTCATGTTGGTCACATCCTATTGCACCATAAATCATAATGTATGATAAGATTTGGTACGATGTGTTGTTGGCTGTATGCACTCATCAGATGTGTGTAAGCACGCAAACAGCAGCTGTGCCAGTGGTGGGAACACTGGAGGGCAGGCCCAGCAGCATGTGCGTGTCTGTGTGTGGTGTGTGTTGGTGTGCTGGTGGGAGGAGCGTGTGGGGGCAAAACCCTGTGTTGACCTGTGCCCCCCAGCCAAAGCGAGGGGAAGTAGGGGGTGACTGGGGGCAGAATGGAGATGAATGAGCTTGAATGGAAGAACTTGACTTGTGGGGCCAAAAGGGGACCATTGTACCTTAAACCTTTTCAATTTCACACTAAAGCTGCTTGTGTGAGTGCACGTGTGTATGTGTGTGTGTGTGTGTGTGTGTGCACATCCAACATGGACTCCTGGACAGGTGGGTCAATCACTAAATGCAATGTTTTTCTTTTTACCCCTTTTTCTGGTACTACTTTCAATACCTGCAAAGGCAACTCCTGTTATAATTTGCGATCAATCCAGACACGGTTCAGTGCAAAAAAAAAAAAAAAAAAAGAAAAGAAAAGAAACAAATTCAGGGGCATTTTACCCAGAATGCCAAGCTGACCTCTCACCCCCATGTGCATCCATTGTGACATGCATCAAATAAAAGAAGCTGGGAGTGAGCAAGAGGTGGAGGACGGAGGAAAGGAAGGAGTGGGGTGGGTGGATCCAGGCCCTGCCGCCACATCTCCGCTCAGCACCTCCAAAAACTTTGATCCGTGGACTCCCCCCCCACCCACCAC